ACAAACCAGCTTCTTTCTACAGTATGCCTGAAATGCAATGACTGAAAAAAAAAAAGATTATGTAAAATATAAATAATAAAGATATTCTTTAAAGTCTACAATATGCATGTAATGTTAGAGAACAGGATTTAAAAAGACAGTTTTGTCCCTAGCTTTGTTTCACACTTATATGACCCTATTTCTTGCAATCTTTTCAAACCCTACAACAAGGTTCACAGTTTCCAGAGGAAGTTAACCTTCAGCGCTTGAGCCTGAAAGGCTATTAACTGCAACAACATGAACTGGATGCCAGAAACATATTTTTAAATAAACGGGACATGCTTTTTAACACTGTATTTCATTCACTGTAACACTTATGGGCTAGACAGCTAACTGCGGCTACAAAGGCAGCATCAGAAGAGTGTCCTTTTAAGGAGCTTGAGGTGTGAAAAAAACAGGATGCAGTGCTTTTAGGTCTGGTGGATGTATATTAGGAGATTGAATATTTTATTCAATCACCTAAAAAATTACAGCAACACGATGAGACAAGAGGATGGACTCAAAACAAATTAATTTCAAAATCATAAAGTCCATAGTCCATTAATAGCTCGCCATCTTCAGATCCAGGTGAAGATCTGATCCAAAAGGGAAAAAAAAAAAACTCCGACCTAAAAGGTCAGAAAAATCCATTAAGTTTGATCAAAAACAATGCAAATATAATTTAAAGCAGAACAATTATTATATTCAAGCATTTAATTTATGCATACTAAATGCAAATTATATTATATTTCTAATAATTAAACATTTCAGTCAGGTTAAATTAACCATAATTCAAATAAAGACAAAAAGTATCATATTTCAAGCTTAATCAATTTAAAGTTAAAGTAAAGGTAAATAGATAAATAGATTCAAAATATCAATCAAGAGAAATAAAACAAATTGTCAAATACTCAAGCAGCGTGAGCAAAAGGAAAAAATTTTTATATAAATACTGTGCAATATCAACTTAAGTGTAGCTACACTGTTCATATCAATCTTTTAAAT